GTTACAGTTTTGAATTTTACTGTTACTATCTTCCTTCCATCCTGCAAACCACCCAGTCACATGACCCCCCCAGCTACACCCACCAAGCCACACCCACAGAACCAGTAATTAAAAAAAAATTGAATTCCACCACTGGGTGGGGAGCACTGAGGATCAGTTTGTAGCACCAAGTGGGGGGGTGGACTGAAAAAGTTTTGGAACCACTGTGCTAGATGATTAAATAAGGTTTCTCCAACTTCCCTATGTGCCTTCTTGTCAAAAGAAAAGCTACAAAACTAGACTTTCAGGCTCCTTGGCCATTGGTCAAAGCAAAAAATTGTAACCTTCAATGCAAAATATACAGGACAACAGTCAGAAAGGTGTGTGACAAAACTTAGATATTAAATTTTATTCTATTTTGATCATATTAAAATCTGTTAGAATCAGATAAAAAAGTTGCACTACAGAAAAATTGTATTCTTATTTTATTGAGCATGTTAGGTAACCTAGTGTTCCTCATGTTGTAAATCTTCTATAAGAACTCTAAACTGCATTCTTGCAATTTAGCCTTCAAAGTTTAAACAACCAACTCTATTTAGAAATGAGTTACATGCCAACAGTTAAAGCACTGCCATATAGGGTATGGCAAAACCAGTGGTTTTGGAATGAGATCATGATAAAACTAGTTCAGCTTTACTATCACAAGTACATATAAAGTTTTCTCTCATTCACTTATATTCAAACACAAACACAATTATTTTGTATTTTTGATTTTCTTTTACATTTTAGTTTTCTGTAGCAGAAACCTCCATTATAGTTTGCAAAAGAAAGAACAGTCACAGTCTATTGTAGAACTAGTTTACCCAAAAACAAAGGTGATTGCTGGTAAGGGTTATGTGTGCTTTGATATGAATATTATATATGTTTGTGTGGTTTTCAAAATTTTAAGTTCATTCCTCTTCAAGGCCAGTAGATTTCAAAATTATTTTACTAAACCCAGATACAGTTACTAAATCAATTGATATCTATAGCCTTGTGATAAGGGACGTGGTGGCTCAATGGCTAAGACACCGAGCTTGTCGATCAGAAGGTCGGCAGTTCAGCAGTTTGAATCCTTATTGCCGCATAACGGAGTGAGCTCTTGTTACTTGTTCCAGCTTCTGTCAACCTAGCAGTTCGAAAGCATGTAAAAATGCAAGTAGAACAAATAGGGACCACTTTGGTAGGAAGGTAACAGCACTCCGTGCGCCTTTGGTGTTTAGTTATGCTGACCACGTGACCAAGGAGATGTCTTCGGACAGCGCTGGCTCTTCGGCTTTGAAACGGAGATGAGCACTGCCCCCTAGAGCTGGAAACAACTAGCATGTATGTGCGGGGGAAGCTTTACCTTTACTTTTAACCTTGTGAATGTACTTCCCTCTTGTTCACTAATTTTAACTTATGGCTAGAGGTTTGGTATCCTAGAAATTCTATGTACCAATCACTTAATACCCTGAATCTTGCTAATGAATCAGTATGTTCTATAACAGTTCTGAATTTTCAATGCTATTAGTTATATCATTGATTCCTAAATTTTAAATGATTCTAAGAGAGACATAAATGCATGTTCAGACCTTAAGTAGCTTTGATGAGATATTTGATAAAAATATTTATTGGGTTAATTTTGCATACATATCAGCAAAATGTCTTGAATGTATTCTTTTTATGAGTTGAATTCCTGTAATATTAGAATGTATTGATTGGGAATATTTGAGCCAAACAAGTTTTGAAACCATGAGTAGAACTTTTCTGCCTTGTCTTCATACCCAGATATTCATTTTTTCCCATCCAAAGTCACATTTTTGTGTGTTTTAGACAGCATATATATGTAACTTCCTTTTCTTTTTTGTCAAAAGCCATTAAAAAAGAGAGGCTAATTTCATAATAAATGTTTGCAGGATGTAATGCTATCATTTTATTATGCAGTTTTCAATCAAACTTATTTTTTAAAAATGTTGTTGTGCTCTACCCGATCCCCTGTATAGATCCCCAGTTCATAGTTTTACTTTTTAATTGTAGTAGAATTAATATTTTACTATCTTTTTGTTCTAGGATGTTCAGAAGGAGAGAGAAACTCATAATTACCTCACCAAGGAAGCAATCAAGGAAAAAGTCCAAATATACAATTCAGATGTTACTGACAAGCTAAAGATGACATTGGTAAGCTTTTTATGTATGGTATTTATTATGATTAGGTAGCATGTCTGCTTGGGACAGAAGTGTTAATCTTGTGTCCCTAAAGTCAGCACTTGATGTGATTAAAAATGTGATAAATGATGGCATGTGTACTCTCCTGTGCGCTGCTTGGAGAACCCAAGCATGGGTTAAACTTCAGTTTGTCTGCCCGGTGACTGAGTTAATTTAGAGTCTTTGGCCACGCCTCCCAGGCTTGACTACCTTAGTTTTATCCTCAGTCAAGCCCATTAGATGTGACTTTGATTCTCTCCTCGATTACTGAGCAGAGTAAACTGAATTTGAATTTTTCTGCTTGATTCTGGAGCAGCAAACAGCTAGAGAAGATTTTTAGTTAATTTTTCCTTTCAGCTGTCAAATTGCTCAACACGCAGACTACTGCAGCTGCTTCATGGCTGTCATAGCAGCTGTCAAAGCACTCCGTGCCCGCCGAGCATTTTGCTGAAGAAATGACTGTTTCAGGTATCTGGCGGGGCGAGCGGCCATTGGCCAAACTGATTGCGGGGTGAGTTTCGGCTCCTAAGGATTTTTTCCCTGTTTGGCCAACGCCACGGTATTGGTTTTTGTGCTGGCTGCCATCTTGGGAGACTGCCATGGCACATTTCCTTGCTTTCGTGCTGGCAGTTCTCGAACCAATTTAAAACATTTCACAACCAATTTAAAAGACTTTACGGCTAGGGGCAAGAGCCAGGAGGACGTTGCAGGGCCAGTGCAGGATGCGCCACTGCCCTCCGTCCTCTCGCAAGGAAACAGACACATGAGTAGGGCAGCGCCCACTTTGGTGCGATCCAGGCAGCTGCCATCTTTTTTGATCTTGGCAAGCCAGATTTACGAGTTTTCCTGTTGGCTGCCTTTCATTGTCTCCAAAGCAAAGAACAATGCGACGACTGCCAAGTCACCCTGAACAGCCAAGCCACCTTCCTTACCAGGCTGCCCTCATTGCTGGCCTATGCCAGTGCCCTTGAACGAGGCTGCCTGGGTGCAGATACTACCCAGCCCCTGGGGCCTCCCTGTCCGAGTACTCGGTCACATCCTGGCATGGCTGAGGTCCGTCACCATCTTTGCAGCTCCTGGCAGCGCACTGAAGAGGTGCAGTTCCTGACATCGTACTAAGGAAGTAATAAGAGGGGCGGTCTGGTATCAGCATGTCTGACCGCAGTACAGAGCTGGAGGAACCTCGCCCAGGCCCTTCCTCCTTAGCTCAATCTCCACCAAGAGCAAACGGGACCAAGTCAACCTCTAAAGGGCCTTCCAAATCCGGGAAGTCCAAAGCTTCGTCCCACAATTCCTCTTCTGCCTCTTATAGAGATGCCATCAGATGCCTTAAGGCATTAGAGAAACAATTTGCCAAGGTGCAGAAGGCACTACAGGACGCACAGCCTCCTTTGAGGAGTCCGTTGACAATATTCCTATGGGGACAGAGGCGCAGGATTGGCCACCTGACAATATTTCCGAGTCACAGGCCTTTTAGGCAGCTTGCTTGAGGAGGCTTTTTCTCCCTTTCAAGGCCTTCAAATACCAGGAGAGCATCTGCCAGTAAGCATAAGGGTGGCTGAACTTTCGACTATGGCTACTTCTGCAGAGGTAGGCCTTCACCCACCCGAGGTCCCAGGCCTAACCCAGGAACTTCAGGTTTACATATCTGAAGCGATTCTATAGGGGGTAGAGCTAGCTTTCCACGGGTAGCCAGACCCAAAGACAGGAGAACCCCTTCCAAACTCAGGCTCCTTCCTCGCCCAAACCATCAGTGCGCAGTGAGGACTCACTGACGGGGGGAGGAGGCCACAGAGAAGGTTCTATTGGACGATGAGGACCTGACCCCGGACAAGCCAGCCTTTACAGGGCTCTTTAAGCTTGCACTATTTAAATCTTTACTTCACAAGGCCAGGTCAGTAACTAGTCAGACTTGAACTGCCCAAGGCACTGTTGGCTCAGAAAACCGGCTTGTTCTCGGAACCTTCCTCTGAACACGAGGTGGTACCTGCACCCCAGCTATTTGTGGACATCGTCCAATGCCAATGGGTCCAGCCTGCCACCATTCCAGCCCCCAGTAGGTGCAACAAGAGACTATTTTCTGTAGATCCTGAGTTAAAAACTTCCTCCAATGGCCTAAAGTAGACCCCCTGGTAGCCTTTCTCATGTCTTCGACACTCATTCCTTCCAACCCCATGGAAGGGCTGAAAGCAGGATAAGAAAGTGGAAACCTCGTTCCTCAAGGTATACCAGGTCTCAGCCTGGGCCATTCGGTCAACCACCTCAGCCTCATTCTTCAATAGGGCCACCTTAATGTGGTTGTGCCAACTTTTGGATTAGATTCCCCAGAAGGATGCCAGGCTCTACCAGGATCTAAACAAACTGACAACGGCCACAGAATATTTGGCGGATACCACGCTTAACGTGGCAAAATTTGCATCCAGAGCCTTAGTCGCCAATGTCACCTCTAGAAGAATGGCGCGGCTCCACCACTGGCTGGCAGACATGCTCTCAAAATGTCGTCCAGCCTTGGCCCCCTTTAAAGGGGATAAGCTCTTTGGCGAAAGAGCTCTTGATCCAGTATTAGTGGAGACTAAAGATAAAAAGAAGGCCCTACTAATAGCTCATAAACGAGCTGATAACAGACCTTCCCCATACTACTGCAGGCAGACCTTTCGCCAGGCTGAATCTGGATCACCTGCTCCTCAGTTTCAGTGACCATACTCTCAGGGAGCCAATAGGTAGCAGGACAGACAGTCCTTTAGGGACAGGGGCAGGCAATAGCTCTAGGGCAGACTACCCTTCTGTGGGGCTAATATCAAGCCCTTCAGAGGGCAAAGTGACTCCCATCTCACTCTGCCGATTGGGGGTGTCTCCAGGCCTTCCTACTCAGTGGCAGGAGATGACCACAGATTCCTGGGTATTACAGACGGTGAGGCTGGGTCTTACCATAGAATTCCTCCCCCCCGTCACTTCCTCAGCTGCCCCGCCTCCAGGAATCCCTCCAAGAGGGCTCTCATGGACACCAAGATTCATCACCTTCTAGACATCAGGGCAATCGAACTGGTTCCACTGAGCCAGGAGGGTCTAGGATTCTATTTGATACTAATCCTAGTCCCCAAGAGCTCGTGTGTGTGCAGAGCCATCCTAGATCTAAAATGGCTCAACTCCCACATAATGTACAAATGCTTCAAAATGCAGTCCCTAAACTCCATCCTGGGCAGCATTCGGGAGGGGGATATGCTGACATCATTCAATCTCAGGGAGGCTTACCTGCACGTACCCATCTACCCATCCCATCGAAGGTTCCTTAGGTTCCATTATGTAGGGCACCACTTCCAATATTGGGCCCTGTCATTCAGCCTGTTATCGACCCCCAGAACCTTCACAAAACTATTAGCCGCAATAGCAGTGCACCTACGCTCTTGATTGATGCGTGTGCAGTGTTACCTGGACAACATTCTCATCTAGTCATCGTCCGTCTGGCAGTCGCAGTGGGATCTGCGCACCACGATGCTTGTCCTACAGAACCATGGGATTTTTCGTGAACATGGAAAAAGTCATCTCAATCCAACCACCAGACTCATGACTTGGGGGCTGTGATCGACACTATATCCTGCAGGGTCACGCTGTCCCCAGAACGGCAATCCAGCCTATGATCGATGATCACATCTATCCGATTGCAACAACAGATGCCACTGATAATACTTTCCCACTTACTCGGGAAAATGATCTCTTGCTTTTCGGTCATTCCCTGGGCAAGACTGCACACTTGTCTATTATAGTGGCTTCTACTGCTGCACCAACGAGCCAAGAGAAGCAACTCCAGCATCAAGGTGTGGATTCCTCCTTCAGTTCGCAACTCGCTTCTTTGGTGGACTTCCCCAGCTGTCAGGAAAGAATGCCTCTTCAAGGAGCCCTTCAAGTGACTGTAACATCAGATGCCACTCTGTTTGGTTGGGACGCACACATCCAGTCCCAAATGTCACAGGGGCGCTGGTTACAGGAGGAGCTGGAGAACAGCATCAATTGGCTGGAGCTCAGGGCCGTTCAACTGGCTCTACGACATTTCGAAGATTGAATGATCGGCCAACATGTCCTGCTCACAGACACTGTGGCCACCAAAGCCCACGTGAACCTCCAGGGGACATGCATTCCAAGGCCTTGATGCAGGAGGCGGAGACCCACCTACTATCCATCCGAGCTGAGCACATCGGGAACAACCAACACAGGCGGATTGGCTCAGCAGGTCCACCATCGACCACATGGAATGGTGCTTCCATGGCTCTCTACAACCGTCCGACAGATTCGGCCGTCCACAAGTGGATCTGTTCACCCGACCGGAGAATGCTCAGCTGCTGAGATATTACTCCAAGTTTCTGATACCAGGAGCGGAAGGGACAGATGCCCTTCACAGCCATTGGCCACTGTGCCTTCTATATGCCTTTCCCCCACTTGCCCTCATTCCCCGAGTGGTCAGGAAGATACTCACAGAGGGGGTGGATGTGCTGTTGGTCAGTCCATACTGGCCCAGGTGTCCATTGTTCGTGGACTTAGTCAGCTTGTCTGTCTCCCGTCCATGGAGGATACCCCAGGAGAGGATCTCTCTCAGCCAGGGGGCGCTTGACCACCCAGACCCTCAGTGGCTCCAGTTAACTGTCTGGCACTTGAGAGGGACCTCCTGAGACCTCCTGAGACAGAGGAAATCCAGACCATACAGGCTTCCAGACATGATTTTATGAACCGTAGTCTGCTTCCTGGGCTACTTTCTGCAGGTGGTGCTCCGCCAATTTCATCGAGCCCACCTCAGCCACACACACCCCAGATGTTGGAATTTCTACAACACGGACTAGACAAGGGGCTCGCCCCAAACACTCCTTAAAGGCACGTCTCAGCCTTGCCGATGATTCTACAATCAGGTTCCGAGTGCATTCTCTCCAGACATCCCCAGGTGTCCAGCTTTCTTCGGGATGCAGTGAATCTGCGAGCACCAG